CTTTGATTCTGTGTTCTGAGTTTATATTCATGATTCATTAACATATACAAAGTTTGCCTTGATCCTTGTCATTTATGCTGAAAAATATATCATGACAATATTATTAGCGAGGTAAATACTCGTCAAGTTATGTTAAAGGCGAAACCATAACACCTTCTTCCGTTGAAGATTACGAATACTTGACTTGTTATTATCGCTGTTCTCATTGCCATTTAAAGTATTAGAAGAGGGACAACGATCAGGTACCCGGATTAACGATGCCTGACATTTGACTTCTCAGCATCACTTAGGCGATATTGGTTGCTCCGGCAATGTTCGTTTTCTTCGTCGCAAGCAAGTCTTTTAGCAGCTGTTTTACTATGTGATAATGGCCTCCGGCGCGCATGCGGCCATTTTTTGTTTCCCAGAGGCGAATGTTTTTGAATTGGTCTTCATTCTCTTTCTAGATGGTTCTCTCAGTAGATGCCAGTCCTGATTTCTTCATAGAGTATTCTCAGACCGATCATCTCCAATATTTTTTCATTCTTTATTCGTTGGGACCATTGTATTTTTAGTACTTACAGCGTTGTTGTAAATTTTTCAGCATCATTTCATGGCGGTTTAAAAAGGTGGATGTTTCGAGATTATACATCAGGATGGCGAAGACGAGGACTTTCAGTATGGTGATTTTTGTTGCGTCCGGAGATGTCGATTTTTTTTACACTGTTGAAGTCGCCCGAAGTTCGCAAATGCCAGTCCTAAGAGCCGCTCTCTTGCCATATCACGACTTCAATCTCTTGCCAGTACTGTGCCAAAATAACTTAAGTTTTTGATCTCCTCGACTGTTATTCCACCTCATTGAATCTTTAGGGCATTGGTCGAGTCGGGTACACTCAAGATCTTCGTTTTGATGGTGTTAATTTCAAGGCCTACCGTCAAGGTGACCCTGTGCACTTCTTAAGTTCCTATCAGTATCATGAGCTACTGATACAGTCGCTACGCAGTATCATGTCATTAGCGTATTCAAAATCTGTTACGAGTACTGTTCGGTATTTTCGTCTAAGTGGTCATCTGATAGTACATCCTCGCTGTTGTTCTGTACAGTGCTA